TTTTTACCCTTTTTTGGGTTTGTTCTTCTATCTTAGTGGTATTGAGAGACTTGTCTTCCAGCTAACTGATTCTTCCTTCCATCTCATCTATTCTACTCCTCTGCCCTTTCAGAGAGTTTTCTATTTCTGCCATTTTGTTGTTGATTGTTTGGACCTCTTTCTGTAGGTTTTGGATTGTTATCAATGTTGTATCTATCTTGTTTGATTGTTCCTGTAGCGCTTTTCTGACTTCTTCCTTATTTTTCTCAACTCCATTGTAAAGTGTTTTGAGACATTTTATAATCATTTTTGTGAATTCTTTCTCAGGTATCGCCAAGGCCTGCCCTCCTTCCAGCATGGAGTGAAGGTGTACTTCTAGTTTATTTGTCTCAGATATTTTATCTTTTTTCTGGACATGTGCCCATATGGTCATCTGCTTTTGCTTCTTGGACATGTTTAATGTTTATCTGTGGCCCTGATAATTAATTAAGTATGTATTTTGGTAATTTTTTATGTTTTCTGATTACCTCCAGGAAGATGTGATCAGGATGTGGTCTTCCCTTTTCACTTTCCTTATTTCTTAACTCAGAGTAACTTTTTGGGGCCTCAGTTGGTCCTGAGCCTCGGCGGGGGACCGTTTGGGCCTCAGGCGGGTGGGTTGAGCCTAGGGCAGGTGGTTTGGGCCTCTGGGGGCCTGGGCATCGGTGACCGGGCTGCAGGAGGGTTGGACCTCGGGCCGGTGGTTTGTGCCTCAGGCTGGTGGTTTGGGCCTCAGGCAGGCAGTTTGGGCCTCAGGGGGCTTGGGTATCAGCAGCTGGGCATTGGGCAGCTTGTGACTCAGTGGGCGGGTTGGGCGGATTGGGCCTCAGGGTCCTGTGCCTCGGGGACCGGGCTGAGGGTGGGTTGGGTCTCAGGGGCACTGGGCCTTGACGACTGGGCTACGCGGTGGGTTGGGCCTCCGGGTCCCTGGGTCTCAGCGACCTGGCTATGCGGAGGGTTGGGCCTTGGTTGGGCCTGGTCCTTTGTGACCAGTCTGTGGGCGGGTTGGGCCTCAGGGCAGGCCTTGGCCTTAGTGGGAGTGTCTGGGCCTTGGGAGGGCCTTGGCCTCAGTGGGCGGGCCTGTGCCTTTGGTGTTCCTGAGCCTCAGTGCCTTGGCAGAGGGCTGGTCTAGGCCGGGGCAGTAGAGGGCTGGGGATCGTGGCTGCAGGGAGGTAGTGTCCGTATTTGATGACATAAAAAATGCCTCTCTCAGTGTCTCTGCACCGTGGGTACCCCAAATTTTCTGATATCTGCACCGATATCCCTCTCTATTTGTTAGGTTTTGTTTGTTTATACTTCCTTTTCTCTGGAAATGCAGCCTTCTAAGTGGGGTTGGTCTAGCCCTGCATTCCAAGGTCTGCAGGGGGCAGAGGCACTCGCCGGCACGGGCGCGAAAGCGGGAGCCACGTGCAGGCAGGCAAAAGCTTAAAATGCCTGTAATTCCTCAGCAATTTGATCTTTAAAAAAAACGAGTTCAGAATGTTGAAATATAAGATCTGATGTTTGTTCAAAGGCTGTCTGTCTGCTAGACAGAGGTTTCTTATGTGCGATTCCGCCCCTCTTCCCCAAGACTGCCCTACCTGAGCTGCCTGGTCAGGGAAGCGCCGGAAGTCCTCTCTTGAAAAATTCTTTTTCCAGGTACTTAAACATAACATCTATTCTTATATTTTAATAAATATACATTCTTTTAATGACGCCCCCAATATTTGAGGAAGCTATATAAAAATTTTAAATCTCTACCTTCAGATTTTGTGTGACACTGAACCAATTCTGAACTGCCAAAGGTTAGAGAAATCCAGTTGATAAGATGATTACTGATAGAGTATATTTAGAGCCTCTTGCTAAATATAATCCATACCTATTCTAAAGCTGACTATACCACTGTCATTGGACACATAAAAGAGAGAACCTGCATTTTCTATTGTCTGTGATAAATTAGTGTCAAGAGTAGATATTACAGAAAAATAAATGTAGTTCCACGTGGGCCATTAATTTTAAAAACTAAGTGATTTTGACTCATGGTGACCTCATGTGTGTCAGAGTAGAGCTATACTTCATATAATTTCCTTCCTTCTTTCTTTCTTTTTGTTGTTGAAAATATACACAGCAGAATATACACCAATTCAAACTTTTCTACATGTATAATTCAGTGACATTGATTACTTTCTTCAAGTTATGCAGTCATTCTGACCCTCTTTCCCCAACTTGTTGCTTTCCCATTAACATAAACTCACTGCTCCCTTGGCTTTCTAGCTAACCTTTTGAGTTGCTGTCAATTTGATGCCATTTAGATCGTTATTTTAAAAGCGCTCAATGCTCAGGGCAGACGTTCTTTGCTAACTTGAATCAACAGTGAACTCTCCTGGAAGCAGCAGTTAGGAAATCAAATGACATATTGTAATGAGCAAATCTTCTGCAAAATATCTCTTAAAAGTGTTAAAAAGCAAAGACATCACTTTGAATACTAAGGTGTGCCTGACCCAAATTATGATATTTTCAGCCACTTAATATCCATGTGAAAGCTGGATATTGAATAAGGAAGGCTGAAGAAGAATTGATGCTATTGAATTAATAAACCATGGACTGCCAGAAGAATGAACAAATCCGAAAGAAATAGACAACTCCTTAGAAGCAAGGATGGTGAGACTTTGTCTCACATACATGCCCGAACTATCTCTTCTGATGACATGGAGGGAACAGTCCCCAAACAAGGACCTGGTCAAGTGGAGGGTCATTGAAAAAGAGAAAGACCCGCAATGAGATGGATTGACAAGGTAGCTATAGCAGTGGGCTCAAACAGGAACAATTGTGAGGACTGGACAGTATTTCATTCTATTGTACATAGGGTCTTTTTGAGTCGAAACCAACTTGACAGTACCTAACAGCAACAATATTGTTTATTTTAAAGAAAACTTCAGGAGATAGTTTTGGTGTAAGGTTTAATGTGTAAAGATTATTTCAGGGCAGTAACTTCAGACCTTCATTTAAATTCAGTGACTCCAAAAAAGTCTGGATTCCATGATAATTTGGAATTCTGTGTAACATTTCCTTTCTTTTGATTAGGGTCTTCTAGAGGACTTTGATCAGAATGTTTAGTAATGGTAACCAGGCACCATTCAATTTTTTTTTTCTTCTGTTGTGGCAAAGGAAACAACTGTTCATAGAGGCAGTTAGCTGTATATTTCATTTTCTCCTTGTATTCCTCAGTTGGTCCAGGGGCACAGAGCAAGTTGTTGTATCATGGATGGCTGCTGCAAATGTTTAAGACCCCAGGCACTATACAACAAACTAGGAGGTAGAACAGAAGCATTAAGTACAATATTAGGACAATTAAGTAGGATGTGTAGAACTTTCAATGGCTGATTTTTTTATTGTTGTAAAAAATGTATAGCAGAACATTTTTCAGAAGTACATTTTAGTGAGATCAGCTTTATTAATCATGTTATGCAACCATCACCCATAATCACTGCTAGATTTCTGGTCACCATAAACAGAAACACTGCTTTCCAAACAATGGCCCTTGTTTTCTCCTTCCCTCCCTTCCCTTGATAATCACTAATAAATTTTGATATCTATACATTTGGAACTGACTTGCCAGTACATAACAACAACAAATATACATTTGCCTAGGGATCCTTGGTAGCATAGTGAGTTATGAGTTGGGCTGCTAACCACAAGGTCAGCAGTTTGAATCTACCAGGTGCCCCTTGGGAGAAAGAGAGGCTTTCTGCTCATGTAAAAAGTTACAGCCTCAGAAACCCTATATGGGGTCACTATGAGTTAGAACCGACTCAACAGCATACATCCACCACCACCACCATACATTTACCTCATCATATAAGTGAGATAATAAAATATCTGCCCTTTTAGACACTGGCTTTTCAGAAGCATAACCACTAGCCTTTCTTCTGAGATACCTCTGGGTTAGCAGCCAAGAGTGTTAATCATTTATATAACCAAGGGACTCCAGTGTGATACAAGAACTCTCATTTTCTTGCTTAGCTATTACAGTGCCACCATCAGAGAAGACCGAAATGAATGCTGCTAAGTTTCTTAAATGTGTAACTTGTGGTCCATGAGTTTACATGACAGGATGGAGATAACCTTTCTGAGAGCACCTAATGCTTCTACATCTTTTTCCTCTCAACCTGCTTTTATTCATCTTTGAGGGTCTGAAATGTCTAGGAACCAAGCCAGGAGAGAAGTGAGGGAGAACTGAATTACATGGACTCCGAGACTCTGGGTCCTGAAGCATTCTTGAACCACTCTTTCCTTTGTTTTCCTCTCAGTTTCTGGAAACCTGGGTTCCAGACCACCAACCTTGTCAGATCTGCATATGCCTGAGTGGGCGAAAGGTCAACTGCACCTCACAGCCCTGCCCAACAGCCAGAGGTGAGTGTGTCCACCCCTCCTTGGGGCTCTTGGAGGAAGAAGAGCTTCCATTCCCATCAAGCCACACTATCTTCAGACCTTATAAATCACAACCAAACCTTGGGCCCCTAGATTAATTTCCTTGACCCAACCTTCCTCCTTGGTGCTAGCCCTACCCTTCTTTACTTCCCTGGGCTTGGGGTTCCCCATTCTGACCTGAAGTGGACCATCTTGGAGTTTAACTGCTCTCCTTGACCCTCAGACTCATAGACTCTTGAAGGGTAAATTTGAAGTAATCAGCAGGACACAAAGCGAGAGACTCATTTTCTCAGAGTTCCCATATCTGATTTCTTGTGGGCTTACTATACAGGCTTCAGGGTGGTTTTCAATGAACGAGAGTCTGCAACATTATTCACTGCTTTCCTGGCTGTATTATTGTTTATTTCTCTCTGACTTAGTGGCCATTCTTTCTTTACAGCTCCTACATGTGGCCCGTGTGAAGTGGCCCGCCTCCGCCAGAGTCAAGACCAGTGCTGCCCAGAGTATGAGTGTGGTATGTGTCCTACGTTTGACATTTATTCAGGGTTCAAGCTCCACTTGTAGAGGAACTGTGTTGTGGATGTTGGAAGGTAGATATAGTCCTAGCCACAGAGAGTTGAAATGTACTGGTAAGCATTGTTTGGATTTTCCAAACAGTGGAAAGAGAAACCTCTGGAAATTAGGATTTGCTTACCAGAAACGTTTTGCAGTGGATTATTAAGCTTAGAACGTGAAAGTATATGGAAAAGAATGATATATTCACTGAGGTGATGGGCCATAGAGATTTACTTAAATAGTTGTGCCAAAGGAACCCATTTTTCTTTCCAATAACATTCTGGGATACTAGATACAGAGAAGACCACACATAGGGCACCTTGAATCAACAAGTTAATTATTTGTTAAAAGGTTTCATGATAGGTTTGCACACTAAATTGTGAATAGTGGCCTGAATAATGGTATAATCCAATGAATTCTGAGCTGATAGAAGTGAAGTAAGAGATTTCTAGTGGCCTTGTCTCTGCTTTGTCCAATGCTTTTCTTGGACTGCACAGCCTGTGACACTGACAATGATGCAAAGTCATCCAGGGAGAGCAAATAGATGGTCCAAAGATCTAAGATGAATGAAATCTGAGAAATTTACTTATGCTGGTGAAATCTATCAGGGATAAATAAAAATTCTGTGGGGAAGGGAAATCTGGGGAACAATTTGTGAAAAATAGGTTTTAGAGAATGTTAATGGTAGAGAGAACTAGAGGGATCCTTTAGTTCAAGTCCCTCACAACTTATTAAGCTCCTACATTGTGCCAAGTACTATGTCTATATTATTTCAGTGCATCTCCAGATTAGCCTTAAAGGTAGAGTTTCCATGTTACAAAAGAAGAAACTGAGATCTGCCGATTTCAAGTGATACAAGTGATACGACTTAGATCAGGAATCCTAGAAGGTGATGATAAGGTTATCACATGACTAGGATCTATCAATTAATCTATCTATTATCTATCCATCCATTATATCATTATCATCACTTATTTAAAACCGTGGAGTGCTGGTGTGGTGCTGTGGGTGTAATGCTCTGGACTGCATGGTCGGCAGTTCAAGCTCACCAGCTACTCCTTGGAAACCCTATAAAGGGTTGCTATAAATCAGAACCAATTGATGGCACTTAACAACAATTTAAAACAGTTGAAGTCTTCTTGTATAGGAATGTAGGATCTCACTCACAGATGATAAAAGAGTACTTCTCTGAACACTGAGTGGATATCTCTCTTTCTTGGTCCTTAGTGTGTGACCTGGTGAACTGTGACTTGCCCCCAATGCCTCACTGTGAAGGTGGCCTCCAGCCAACACTGACCAATCCTGGCGAGTGCAGACCCAGCTTCACGTGTGGTAAAGTCTCTGTGAATGGGGAGGGGCTGGGGTGGTCACTCTTACCTGGTGCAGAGAATGTAATCTCCTTCAGTCAAAGATCATGTCATTCTATGTATTGTAGTTAGCTTAATCTGCTTTCAGGGTATATCTAGAACAGAAGAATTTAAGTAACACCTGGACTAAAGGTGTCCTCTAGAATTTTCTTCTAGCTGTCTGCTGCTGAAGATGTGCTGGAGATGAGTACAGTCCAAGTACCTCCCTCTTGGGCATACTAAAAAGCAGTCAGGTTGAGGTGGGAAGGATTCTAGAAACCAATCTTTATTTGCCTTCATCCTCCCATATCCCAGGTGAAGGAAGAAATTTTCCCTTGGCTTGGCCTCATCATTAGATTTTATTATCAAACTAATTGATAGGTTTTTTTTTTTCCTTTGTAGTTTGTATATTTAATTATCAAATGCTTTAATTTAAGCAAAATGTCAAGAAAGCTAATTCTATATTTAGCTACTGAAAATACCTTCTCTAAGTCAAGTGGTATTCTTGTCCTGTTGATTGAGAACCTGGCTTCACTTGAGTTCTTAGATATAAGACTCTGAGGGTGGGAGGATAAGATGTTACATATGGTAGAAGTTGGGAGTAGGCATAGAACACAGAGATAGGATTTGGCATTTATAAGATGAGATTGATGACTGGCATTCTTTTCTTCAACATTATTGGAGGACCTACAATAGAGGACCATAGATAATGCAGCTATGGTATGCTCAGGGTTTCCTGCAGTTAACTGGGCCTTAGATTTCTATATCTGGGGTCCCTGAGAATCAGTAGCTGAAAGGATCCCACCTCTTCCAGATATACATGAAGGTAATAGAGCAGGACACAGGCTTTTCTGCATGAGAATGCCTAACTTCATAGCTCTCCTTTTGATTAATGTTTTTATTGTTCTGCAGGCTAACAGTTTTTAGGTATAACTGAATGTCTTGCAGCTGGGCTCACATGCATTACTAATTTAATATTCTGGGTCTAGACCTTACATTATAGCTGAATATTCATGAACCCCTGGCTGGTTGTAATGCTCATGTGGCAGAACTAAGGGCATCTCTTTGTGCTACAACTCAGCCTGCAGGAAGGAGGAGTGCAGACAGGAGCCCCCACCTGCCTGCCCCCCACACCGGACACCAACCCTTCAGAAGACCCAGTGTTGTGATGAGTATGAGTGTGTTTGCAATTGTGTCAACTCTACAGTGAGCTGCCCTCTGGGATATCTGGCCTCAGTCATCACCAATGACTGTGGTTGTAGCACAACCACCTGCCTCCCTGACAAGGTAAGGGCTGCTGACTTGGGGATGATGGTCAGACATGAGCTCTTCATGGAAGAGTCACCTCTACAAACCCTTCCTTTCCTGCCCAGAGGAATTGGGATTCCAGCTTCAGCATAAATGAAAATGTAGTCATTCCAGGAGGTATAGAGATGCACTCAGCATCATTGGATGCTGAGTTACAAACAATGTATAAGATGTGGTCCCTACTTTTAAATAACTTATTTATAGGTTAGATAAGAAAATACAGTAGAATGGATGATTTGGTGTTGTTGTTAAGTGCTGTAGGGTAGGTTCCAACTCATAGTAACCCTATATAGCATTTCCAAGGAAGGGATGTTGGGTTTGAATCACCAATTTTTGGTTAGCACTCATTTGTTAATTGCCATTAATTCATCTACCTATCCAGTGTTCACTGAGAAAGTAGTATTATACAAGAACAGCTACTGGATTAAGTGCTATAGGAGAAATATAAGATGGAGTCCCTACTCGTGGTCTTATCAGCACATATAAGAGAATGATCTATAAACTAAACATAAGAAAGTGTCAATGAATGATACAGACATTAAATGTGGATAACAATTGTATAGGGGAGAGATCCACCAAGAAGAGCTATCAAGAAAGTTTTAATCGAAGGCAATGGAAATGAAGAATGGGAGTTGAAATGAGCCCGAATTGCAGCTGGAAGGCCTGAGGATGTTGTTGTTGTTAGGTGCCATCAAGTCGGTACCGACTCATGGTGACCCTATGCACAACAGAACGAAACGCTGCCCAGTCCTGGGATAACTTCAAAATGTTGCCACACTTGAGCCCATTGATCTGCTACTTTGCTAATCCATCTCGCTGTGGGTCTTCCTATTTTTCTTTGACCTTCTACCTTACCAAACATAATATCCTTCTCCAGCGACTGGTTCCTCCTGACAATATGTCCGAAGTATGAGAGATGAAGTTTGGCTATCCTGGCTTCCAAGAGCACTCTGGCTGTACTTCTTCCAACACAAATCTATTGGTTCTTTTGGCAGCCTACGACACTTTCAATATTCTCATCTAGCACCATAACTCAAAAGCATCAGTTCTTCTATGGTCTTCCTTATTCACTGTACAGCTTTCGCATGTATATGAGGTTATTGAAAATACCATGGCTTTTGTCAGGCACACCTTAGTCCTCAAGCTGACATCTTTGCTCTTCAACACTTTAAAAAGGTCTTGTGCAACAGAGTTGCATAATGCAATATGTTATTTGATTTCTTGGCTGCTGCTTCCTTGAGTGTTGATGGTGGATTCCAGAAAAATGAAGTCTTTGACAACTTCAATCTTTTCTCCTTTGATAAGAATGTTGTTTATTGGTTCAGTAGTGAGGATTTTTGTTTTCTTTACATTGAGATGCAGTACATACTGAAGTCTATGGTCTTTTGTCTTCATCAGGAAGTATTTTAAGTCCTCTTCACTTTCAGCAAGCAAAGTTGTATCATCTGCATATCACAGATTGTTAATGAGACTTCCTCCAATCCTGATGCCACATTCTTCATATAAGCCAGCTTCTCAGATTATTTGCTCAGCATACAGGCCTGAGAATAGTCACAGTTTGCTGAGTTATTGAGGGAAAGTTCTGGAATGAGTAACTAAAAGTAGTTGCAGTTTTCTTTCCCTATAAGAGAAAAGAGCCTGTAAGGGCAAGAACAGATGTTCATTCACCTGGATGTTTTAGACCTTTGCTTCTTCTGGGTGCTCTTCCAGCTCAAGGTGTCTAAGTGTCCAAGTTCTGGAAAAGTAGGAGCAAGTCTAAGAGGTGACAGTTGGCTGCTGCTGCTTTCATTGATATTCTCTTTTTCTTTCTTCTTTGGCTCTTTTCTTTATTCGTGTTTCTTTTTTTTTTGAATTATGTGATAGTTTACATGGGAGAACATTAGTTTTACATTCATTCTATCATATATCATCTCATTGCCATGATTACAATCTCCTCCATGCATCATCAACCAACCAAAGTGTATACCCTGCAAGCCTGCCCCCCACACCGCCCTGGTCTTCAGCACACAGCCCTCTCCCTCTCTGGATCTAAAGTCCCCAGCTGCTCCATCACTCCACGTCATCGTCTTTGCCTCCATCTCATGCATCACTGCTTCAATGGGTAGGGTCTCGCTCTCTGCTCTTCTCCCTTGATGGTCCTAGGGACCTCCGCTTCTAGACTGGAAAGTTTTTATTAATGTTTCTTATGTCTCTTTAATCTATAGTAACCCCCTCTTTTATGCCATTTTAAATTATTGAAGAAGCTGGTCATTTGTCCTGTAGAATGTCATCTGGATTTGACTGATGGCTTTCTTATGGTTTTACTTGATGTGTTTCTTCATTCCCTATATTTCTAGTAAAGTTGTGCTACAGTAAAATTATGCTTAAGGCAATTCCTAGGTTTACCTCTCTACCGAAAGCAGTTAAGATTTGTTTGCAGTTCTTTTTGTCCCAAGAATAAAACCCATTAGAGATGGACAGTGAAAATACTTGGTTTTAACATTACTTGGGAGGAATCTTATTGGACAATTGTTAAATCACTTAGCTGCTAACCAAAAGAGCCATGGTTCAAACTCACCAGCCACTCCATTAATTAAATTGTTGATGGGGAAAACTTGATGTTGGAGAAAAGACTGATATCAACTGAACTGAGTAATTAGTCTTGTCTTTAAAAGTAGGATAGCTGAACATTATGTGCCTCCTAAGTTTCATGCAGTAGGTAACACATACAGCATTGTCTATGATATATTTTTGCAAATCACAGTCACCTCCCCCACAAATTGAACTTGAATGTAATTAATCACTAGGATTAATGGCTAGGTCTGACATCTAGTTTATGAGATATGACATTCTGCTTCCATAAGATTTCAGCCTTGGAAACCATGCAGGGCAGTTCTACTCTGGCCTGTAGGGTTGTGCTGAGTCCTAATGGATTCAGTGACAATGGATTTTTGTGACAGCACTCGAGATCATTGTTTCCTCTGTATGGTTATTCTAATGACTTGATATCCAGTTTATCAGATATTTCCATTTTCAGTTTTTAGGATTTGTTCTTGCTGTATTTTTAATTTAAATTTTTTAAAAATGTAAAACACTTAAATGATTACCAAATCAAATTATAAAGCAAAATCAATTGCTAAAAGTCTCACTTCTAGCCTTGTCTTTGCTGCTTTGTTCCTTCTTTCTACTCTATAATTTTACCATTTTTATTAGTTTTTGGCATATCCTCCCATATTTTTTGAAAATGTAAGAATTTTTATATTTATATTTCTTCTCATTTATCATAGAAAGAATAGTATATTATAAATTCAGTCCTAACATATATACTGAAGACTTCTATATCAACATATGAATATCTTCCTGTTTCCTTTTTATAGCTGCATGGATACATCTTAGTTTATTTTACTAGTCTCTGTTGATGGACGTTTGAATAGTTTTAGTCTTTTGCTACTACTAATAATGCTGTAACAAATAACATTGTGTATTGGTCTTTTTTTTTTTTTTAAAGTTTTTATTGTGAATTATGTGATAGTTTACGGGGTGAACATTAGCTTTACATTCACCCTATCTTATTTCATTTCATTGCAATGATCACAGTCCTCTGCATGCATCATCAAACAACCAAAGGGTACACCCCACAAGCCTGCCCCCTGGCCATCGGCACACAGCCCCTCTCCCTTCCTGAGTCCAGAGTCCCCAGCTGCTCCATCTCTCCATGTCATCATCTCTGCCTGCATCTCTGGTGTCACTGCTTCTCTAGATAGGGTCCTGCACTCCACTCTTCTCCCTTGATGGTCCCAGCCATATGGTTTTGACAGATGCACTAGGGATGGATTCTTAGACAGGAGATACTGGGTCAAATGATAAATGACACTAGACCTCTCCTGTTGTTGTTAGGCACTGTCAAGTCAGTTCTAACTCATAGGACCCTGCATAGGGTTTTCAAGGAGCACCTGGTGAGTTTGAACTGCTGACCTTGCAGTTCAAACCAACCTTGTGGTCCAGTTCAGGTTGGTAACATTTTCTAATAAACTTCTTGCTAGGTCTCAACTCAATAAATTAATTATGCAAAACCTAGGAGACTAAGCAGATAGATGATAATGGTTGAAAAATATTTGTACTTGTATGAATGAGGGTAGAGATCTGTTCTATGTAATTTTAGAGGACAGAACTGAGACTAATTAAACAATTGCCATTACCCTGGTCAGTAGCTTCCTTAACACCTCATTCCTACAAAATAAAGACTAAACATTGAATATGGTCGACATCCCAGGCTTTATGTATTGGGATCCCAACCAAGCCCTTATAATCTCATTTCCCACATCCCTTCCATAACCTATACGCCTTACAAATAGGATCCTTTGTCCTGAAACACATCTCATATTCTGTGTCTCAGAGCCTGGCCTGTTATGATCTCTGTCACTTGTGGGCCGTGAGGGAACACTTATTCACAGTACCTGCCCAATCTCCCTTTACCTTCAATTCACTCCAAGATGGGTTCCAAGGTCAAGGGCACTATTGACTCTTGGCTGTCAGAATAGAGATTAGCTTTTGGTGTAAATAAGGAGTTAAATTCAGTAAAGGCATGTGTGAAACTGGCCAGAAGCAGTCAGTGTGTTACTACTGGGCCTGTGGACCATGGAGGCCTCTCAAGGAACCACTTCCAGGGTTGACCAGGGATGCCTTTTCTAAGGCTGGTGGCATGGAATGGCAAAGGACAAAATCTACTTTAGAAACATTTATGCATATGGGACAAGGCCATGTTGGCTTTATTTATTGCTGTATTCTCAGCATCTAGTACAACTTCCAACACAGTAGTCACTTATGAACTGCTTGTTTAAATAAGCCAAATGAGTTACCTCATGGAAATCTTGTGTTTGCAGGTGTGTGTCCACCGAGGTACCATCTACCCTGTGGGCCGGTTCTGGGAGGAGGGCTGTGATGTGTGCACCTGCACCGACATGGAGGATGCTGTAATGGGCTTGCGTGTGACCCAGTGCTCCCAGAAACCCTGTGAAGAGGGTTGTAGGTCGGTAAGTAGAGCACAGGAGCTGGTACTGCAGAGCAGCCAGGGGAGGGATGGAGGAAGGGGACCTCAGGAGGGAGCAAGAAAGGCCCTATACTAATCTCTGGTTCAAGGCCAGAAGTGAGGGGAAAAAGGAGATCAGGCGGCTAAAGAGGAAGGAGCTTGAAGACAAGATTTCTGGGTTATCCTTCTGTGATTCTGTCTTTGGCTTGTGGTCATATCTATTGTAAGCTCCAGAGGGCTATGGGGTGGGTTTGAGCAGAGATGTAGAGCGGATTAAAGGTCTAGAAAGGAGATTTGATATTTTTTCCTCACTCTACTACCTTCAGACATTACTTAGCCTATTCCTAGAGCAGACATATGTCCTGAATTTTCTGGGATTTGTCCCAGTTTTAAGACACTATAGTATTTCCACATAGATTAGTGATTTTCAAACCATGTTTATAGTTTGAGGTACAGAACATGTGACTATTGCTTCCAAATTCTGTTTTTAATTCTTGTGGTGGTGTGTCCCTAAGGTAGCCATGTGTTCTGGTATGTATGTCCTACTCTTGTACATTTGAGACTGATCAGACCCCAGAAAAAGAGGGAGCAGTGGTCTGCAGGGAATCTGTGGGTCATATTTTGCTTGTGGATTTTACACTATTCTCTGTCAGTAGGTGACATTACAAACAGCATTTCCAGGGCAGGTAAGCACATACATTTTGAGGTTGCTTTGCAAGTGTTGGTAGCAGTGGAAACAGTGTTCTTGGCATTGTCTCCAAGGTATATAGCTTGATGATAGAATGGGAAACCTCAGAGAGAACCTCAAAATGGAAGAGTCCATTCCACTCATCTACTTCTCTGCCTGTACTGTTGGACTGAGGGTGAGAGTTGGTTGCTAAGGCACCTTTGGGAGAGCATGGTGCTCTGGTATCCAGGTGTGCCTTTGGAGACTATTAAGTTTTGGAAACCATTGGTCTCTGTCTCATCACACAGGCTAGGGAAGACAATGGAGATGATTTCTTAGCAAATAAAGCAAGTGCTGTTTCAAAGTCATTGAAAAAATAAATTTGGAACCCAGTATATTTTGTGCATTTGGGTTGTCAGGAACAAAACTTACCCAAGCTAGCTAAATAAAAAGGAAACTTATGGAAGCTCAGAAAGGAACCTCTAAGAAATTAAGTGCAAGAAATCTGGGTGCATATCATGGAAAGAGTAGTCCTGGTGTGGCACTGTAGGATAAGCACTGAACTGCTAACCACAAGGTCAATGGTTCAAACCCATCAGCCACTGCTCAGCAACCCTATACACAGTCACCATGAGTCAGTACTTAAAACAACAACAATCATGGAGGAGACCCAGGTTCATTCCCGGCCCATGCCCCTCATCCACAGCTACCACGTCTCTGTCAGTGGAGCCCTGTGTGTTGCTGTGATGCTAAACACGTTCAGCAGAAATTCTAGACTAAGACTGACTATGAAGATAGGCTCAGTGATCTGCATCTGAGAGTCTGTCAATGAAAACCCTATGGATCACAATGTCTGATTCCCAGTGGATCCTGGGGATGGCGCAGGACCATACAGCATTTGTTCCCTTGTGCATGGGTCTCCAAGAGTCAGAGGCCAACTTTACATCTGTTTATAACAGCAACATTCATAGACAATAGACAATAGTCAGGCAGCATTCGTCTACATTTGTCTGATCCCTTGTCCCTGTACCTTTCTGCTTATCTGCTCCAGCTCTTCACTGTAGGCTACCTTCCTCTCTGAGAAAGTTTTGCTTTCTCATAAATTTGTTTTCTTCTCTCTTCCACCTTAAGACTTTACTTAGCCTATTCCTAGAGCAGATATATGTCCTGAATTTCTGGGATTTGTCCCAGCTTTAATGTAGTATAATATTTCCACAAAGATTGATGATTTTCAAACTATGTTTATATAATGTTATCAAATCAAATGAACTTGGACTGTTCATTTCAACCTTGTTCAAACAAGGCTCATCCTTTTCCCATCTGATTTGTTTAATCTTGGTGTTTCATAGACTAAATTCTCAAGAAAAGTTAGATTGGGTCCTTCGTTTGGTTCTCTTTCTAGTCTAGTAAACCTTTTGGGGAGAATGCATGTTCATATGGATAAACCTGACTGTCTAAGTGAGTGTCTTCCCCATAGGCTAAGAGAATGGAGTCCAAAAAAGAAGTGGGATTGGAAGTCAGGGGAATGAATGGAGGAGACACCCTATCTAGCATTTTTGACAGATAATGCCCTTTAAATTGGATTCCCTGTCTTAGAGGCTGGATGTTGACATCTTCTGGGAAGAAGATCTGGTTTTAGATAAAGCTGAGAGGAAGGGGTAGGCTAGACTTTGTATTGAATTATACTAAGTTGATCTGCATTAAGTTTTGAGTTAAGGGGGAAGAGTCCATGAATTTAAGGTGGCTGCAGACTTCATGCTTCCAAAAAAATGACAGCAGCTATGGCCTTCCCTCTAGAGACATTTGGGCCCATTTCTTGGAATTAAGCTGTGGTCTAGATTTTGACAAAAAGAACGCATCACCACTTTATCTTTTGATTTTCCCTGAAGTAACAGTCTACAAAATACCTTTCCTGACCTCTCCCATAGTTCTCTGCTTTTTCATATCAGAAAAATACTGTAAAGGGAGCAGCAAAAGACATTGCTGGTTTCCCAAAGAGTTTATAGGTGGGGCTACATGCCTATGGCTTTAGCTTCCATGTTGACAACAAGAGGAATTCCTGCACCTCTGCGTAAACCTTAGGAAATTTTTCCTTTGAATATGCACGACCACCTGACTCTCCACTTAGACCCCAGTATTAGATTAAATAATGGCATTAAGACTATATTCTGAAGGACTGAAAATAGTCCGTTATATTTTATGACACTTCAGAGTCTTGGGGTGGTGCTGTAGAATAAGCATGGACTGCTAACCACAAGGTCAGCAGTTCAAACCTACCAGCTTCTCTTTGGAAACCCTATATAGGGTCACTATGAGTCAGAACTGACTTAGTGGACTTAACAAGAGCAACAGTAACATGATACTCCTCCAGAAGGAAGAAGAAGCAGGGTTGTTCTCATTTATAGGATCAAAAAACAAAGGACTAGCACAGGGAATGACGATGACCACAGCTCTGCTGCTCATCTAAAGCTAGAAGAGATTGAAGTGTCCTGACTCTTAGCAGAGGGCTTGGTCTTTTACATTTATGCAACGGGCCACACAAGTGCTGCAAGGGCCAGTGTGATCCAGGGAAGAGGTCTTCAAACTGTGCTCATTGACAGGTGACAGAGCTCCATGCCTCCCACCTCTGCTTTGGCTATGGCAACTCTGCTTGAAAGACAGTGCCTCTGAATACATTAGGAGTTTATTTTCCAGTGGACTATGTCTTTAGGTTGAGTGGATATTAGATCTGCTTAGTTCCATTGTTAGTTGGGAAATCAGTGAGTACAGGGTGGGGAAGAGCATAAGGAGAAGGGGCTGCATATTTTGAATAAGATTGGTAGAAGTATGGGAAAAGAGAGAGATGAAATGTGGAGTGAAACCTTGGTCTGCATCAAGGAAATAGGAATGATAGGGGTATGGAAGAGACTTTTACAAATATGGCAGCTGGAAATTTGGTGGCACGCCGAGAAGTTCTTGAACATGAGAAGGGGCTTTAGGGAACAAAGCATCTGGCCTGGGACTCATCCATATCAGCACCAATGTGGCTTCCCATGCTAGCAGGCATCATGGAATACAAAGAACTCACAAATAGATGACTCAGCTCTTTGAGAGAGATGTACATGAGTGATACTCGAACCCTAAATGTATTCATTGCTCTCTTCTGTATTCCCATGAGTCTTTGTTTCTGACTCCTATGACTTTCTTTTAGGGCATTTTGTGCATTCTGTTTTATAATGTAGGGCATATAGATTATATTATCCTAATTTGTTGCCTCTTACTATTAAGTAAGAGGCATCATACCTAAACCAAACCCACTGCTATTGAGTAGATTCTGACTCATAGTGACCTTGTAGGACAAAGTAAAACTGCAGATGGAAATCTTTACAGAAGCAGACTGCTTTATCTGTCTCCTGCAGAACAGCAGGTGGAGTCCAACCACTGACCTTCCAGGTAGCAGCCCAACGTTTAACCCACCACACAACCAGAGCTCCTTCAGTACATCATAGATACACAATAAATGACCTAGAATCTCAGCTGAATGAAGTTGGGAACAACTCACTGTGTACTGCTATGACGTGGGTAGGGATATCAGTAGGCCCCATGGAGATGGTATGAAGTTGAGTTGGGTCTCTAGAGTACTCACATCCCCCAGAGAGAGGCACCAGGTAGACCAAGATCAAGTGTTATGTGCATCTTTTGATTTGGCCCTGATTGTGAGTGCTTGGGGAACAGAATAGCTTGGTATCCACACCTGTTCTTAAAGACACAGCTCCAAGATTAAGCATATTATTGTTACTAAGTGCTGTTGAGTCGGTTTTGACTCATAGTGACCCTGGATAGAATTTCCGAAGAGTGACTGGTGAGCTGGAACTGCTGACCTTGCAGTTCAAATAGATTTTGCAGTCCAGCGCATTAACCCACATTACCACACATAGTCCTGGTTTTTTCCCCCTTGACTCCTGGGACAACAACACACGCCATTGTTTTGCCTACTGTGTGTGCATTGCTTCAGACTTTTCCATGGAGGGTTTCAGTCTAAGTCCCTAATGCTTTGGCCAAATTGGAAGACCTACACAGGACAAGGTGGACTGGCAAACTCTAGGATGCCAGTCTCCCTGGCAGGCATCCTGGGGGAAGTTGGGATCTATTGAACTCTCATCTAATTTTTCCTATGTAAAGAATACTGTGTTCCATCTCTGCACTCTGCTGAGAGGTATTGGGATTAGGGTTCTCACTTTGCATAGTTAGTTAGAATTATATTTAGATGCTAGGATAATAACAGTTCTTCTGCTCTGATTCATTCTGAATCTTCTCCCCCAGTTAATGAGATACTCTAGATGTAGCCATGATAAAGGTCAGGTCAGTTAGCTGCTGCTAAAAGAATGCTGGAATGCACTTAACAATCTTATGGACTGGATCTTGATTTTATAGTAGAAGCTTTCAGAAGGCACGGCTATTTTATGCTGGTGTGGCACTGTGGGATGAAACACTGGACTGCAAGGTCAGTTAGAACAACGAGGCTGGCAGTTTAAACTCACCAGCCATTCCTTGGAAACCCTATACAGGGTCGTTATGAGTTAGAATTGACTCAATGGCACTTACCAACAACAACAAGACCTAGCTTGGTAACTCAGTGGTTGATGCGTTCTAATTGCTTCTTGGCACGATTCTGAGATTGATTGATGACAAAGATGAAGATGCCTACTCCAGTCCCTCTTCTGCAATAGTCTAAGGGCCCAGTAACATTGTCTTTGCTGTTGGCCTGCCCTCACTGTTCTTTCTATCCTAACAGGGCTTCACTTATGTTCTCCATGAAGGTGAGTGCTGTGGAAGGTGCCTGCCGTCTGCTTGTGAGGTGATGGCCGGCTCACCGAGGGGAGACTCCCAGTCTTACTGGAAGAGTGTAGGTCTGGGCTCTGAGCCTGGTGGGAGGGAGGGTAGTGATGTCACCAGTCTGGGAGTCCATGTCTGTGGTCTAACACTGATCTTGGTTCATCTCTAAAATAGGAGTGTGTTCCCTGCCCTTTGTTTTCCCCACGAAGAATTTAGTCCAGCTGCCAGTATAGTCCAGATATCATCTAGGATTACCTTGTCCCCTAAAACTTGCCTCAGCTTCCCACTTTGTAGATTCTGAGAGAAGTAGAATTCCCTTCCCCAAAGTTCTGTGAAATCCTGGGGATTGCTGTCCACTGGTCATCTGTGAATTGGAGATCCTGCTTCATGGAGTGGCTGGTTTCAGAAAGCCTCACCCTCCTGTATGTGCTACGAGTCCCATAAACTGCAAATTCTGTTCTGTACCACAGTTGATCCAGACGTGGTCCTCAGAACAAACTTCCTGATGGTTTTAGGAAAGTGGAGATCTTTACAACCCAGAGAAGCAAAAACTATTTCAATTCCTAAACAGACCCTCAGCTACTTCTGTAGCTCTGGCTGTGGCAGCTTGCCGTGTTGGCCCATCTCCCCAGTCCTGCAGTGAGCTCCACTCATTCCCTCTGTGAATCTTATCTCCCTCCTACCGAGACTTGCTGCCTGGTGGGTTCTGAGTATTAGGTAGAGGCCCACCTCCAGGGCCCAAACCAGCCCCTCAAGAGAAATCCCATTCTGACCGTGGGCCCTAATGCCTCAGCACGTTTGACTAACTCAGATGTTTCACAGGTTGGCTCTCAGTGGGCCTCCCCCGAGAACCCCTGTCTCCTCAACGAGTGTGTACGTGTGAAGGAGGAAGTCTTTGTGCAACAGAGGAATGTCTCCTGTCCCCAGCTCGATGTCCCCATCTGCCCCACAGGCTTCCAGTTGAACTGCAAGACCCCTGAGTGTTGCCCCACCTGTCGCTGCGGTAAGGCATGCTGGCCTGGGGCCCCACCTTCAAGCCTATCTCCCTGTTCTAGTTCCTGAGTTGGTTGCCCTTTTAGCAGTGAGGGAAATGGGTAGGATCAAAATCTTCTCTTCTGTGCCTAATACCCTTGTGAGAAAACAAATAAAGGTGAGAAAAATACCAGTTTTCTCAAGGTCACCCTATGCCCAGCACTGTGTTCAATGAGAGTGTTGTAACATTATCTCAGGTAACCCTCACAGGGGTGAGGAGCTGTGACTGCCTCCATTTGTGCAGGTGAAGTTAATGAATGGTAGAGCTGGGATTCAATCCCAGGCTTCCTTTCTCAGAGTCTCAAGACCACCTTCTCAATCATGCTGTATCACTTCTGATACTGAAGACATTCTGACTCCCTGGGTGTTGCAGTGGGTTAAGGGCATAAATAATAGCCAAAAGGTTGGTGGTTTGAACCCACCCAAGGGCACCTTGGAAGACAGGCCTGGTGATATGCTTCTGAAAGGTCACAGCCTTGAAAATCCTATGGAGCGATCTACTCTGCACATGTCAGTGGGAATCGACTTGATAACAACTAGCAAGACCACCTTCCCACAAGCAAACAAACAGAAAAGAAAACAAATGCCAACTCCCTCCATCACCCTGTCCTGCTGAATTCCTTGTGTAACTTTATCTTGGGACTTAAATTTTAAGAGAAGAGCTTTATTCTTTCCTAAACTCAAGCATCTTCCCACTCATCCTTCCCTGTGAATTCACTTAAACAAGAGTAGTCAGGGATCTTCTCGGTATGGGCAGGCTGGTGTGGAAATCCTCCCTGGGCAGGTCTGTGCAAGGAATGTCCTAGGGGTTCTGGAAGCAGGACCCAATACTCTGGAGGCAGGGCTGGGAGTTTGACCTGCAGATGGAAGAGAGAGGTCCAGAAGGGGAGGAGAAGACCCTGCAGGGAAGCCCTTTGGTCCTGCTCCCAGCCCATAAGCCTGTTCTCACCAGGGCATGTTCTGCACACTCATGCTCTGTGTTTCTCTCTCTCCCTCAGAGCCCGTGCAGGCCTGTGTGCTCAATGGCACCATCATTGAGGTGAGTGGTGGGACCAGGATGGGGTGCTGTGAGAAGAATGGGGAAGTTAGGGTCAGCCCAACATCCTAAGTGGAGTGAAAGGAACCTGGGAGACAAGCCTCCAACACACTTTCCATTGCCAGCAGGGTCCCCTGAGGCATCTGAAAGCCTAGGATAGGACAGTCTTCCCAACTCTCCAGGCCCTGGGCCCTTCTGTCTAGCACTCACCCCTTGATACCGATCCCAGGCACATGGCCTTTCCTCTGCATACATAGAAACATCCAAATGTTGTACACATTTCAATCTGTCTCCCACTCCCACGAAGCTCTCACTCTTATATTGTTATTCTTGAGGTGAGAGGGCAGGACAGGAGAAGGAGAAACATCAGGTGATGGCTCATGGAAGCTACAGGTGGGCAGGTGGATGGGGATGAGGTGAATGGGGTGGGGGGTGGGAAGCCAGACCCTGGTTCCTCTCATTCCAGCCCGGGAAGAGTCTGATGATCGATGTGTGTACAAATTGCCACTGCACCATCCAGGCTGGTGTCATCTCAGGGTTCAAACTGGAGTGCAGGAAGACCACCTGCAAGGACTGCCCACTGGTAAGACTGGGCCATCAGGGAAGAGATGCACAGACCCAACACTTGTGTGACCCAAACCTAAGGACCGCCTTAGGGTCTTCAAGCAATCCTTTCATTATTTTCTGATTATGAAAATATTTGACAGATACAAAGAAGGGAGTAAGTTACCTACCCATATCATGCCCCTCAGCAATAATTCTAATTTTGTTTTGTGAATTTTAAACAATTCCCTTCTGTGTTTTTAAATGAATGTAATATCAACAAGACTTATGATACTACAAGGAACCCTGGTCACACAATGGTTCAGACCTTTGCTGCTCACTGAAAGGTCAGTAGTTGGAACTTACCTAGTGGCTCCTCAGGAGGAAAACCTGGCAATCTGCTTCTGTAGAGATTACAGTTTAGGAAAACCAATAGGGCATTCTACTCTCTCCTATAGGACTGCTTAGATGGAATCAGCTCAAAGGCACACAACAACAACCTGATACTGTCTTTATAGTTTATAGCTTACATATTTATATTTACAACACATGATAAGAAACACCACTAACGTTCTTTCAACAATTAGTAAGTTAAGAAATATTTATCAGACACCATGTGCAAGACTACATAACTACATTCAGTTCATTTGGATGGAATTACCATGTCTCAACATATACATTTCTAGCATTGGGACAGTGTCTTAGTTATTTACTGTTGTTATAAAAGAAATACCAAGAGTAGATGCTTTTAATAAATAAAAGTGTATTCTCTTACAGTTTAGGTAAGGCTCGAAGTCCAAATTCAGAGTGCTGGGAAGCCTTTCTTCTTGTTGACTCTGGGGAAAGGTCCTTGTCCTTGTCTCCTTTCAGAACCTGTAGGTCCAGCATCCTTTGGAGATCCCCTTGCATCTCGGCATGATTCTTTCCCTGGATCTAGAAGCTTCCCAGTATAGACACTTCAGGTCCAAAGGCTGCACTCCACTCCTAGCTCTTCTTTCTTGGTCATAGTAGGTCCCTCTGAGCTCTACTTGCTTATTTAATCTCTTTCATATCTCAAAAGAGATTAACTCAAGATACAACCTAATCCTGGAGATTGTATCCGGCATCGTTAATATTATTTGTTGTTTTTGTTGTTAAGTGTTGTCAAGTCAGTTCTAACTCATAGTGACCTGGTTAAAAGTTTCCAAGGAGCTACTGGTGAGTTTGAACCACCAACCTTGCGGTTCAAATCGACTTTGTGGTCCAGCGCATCCAGTGCGTTATCTTGCATCAGGACATAGAAGTTAGGATTTACAACACATAGGATATTCACATCAGATTAGGGCTGATCACATCATGGGGTTGATTCTGTCATTACATAGCTGTCACATTACATTATTACATAACTACCAAACCACCGAGAATCTTGGCCCACCCAAGTATTTTGTTGGGGGGACACAACTCACCCTGATTTTGCTAGGCCATGATGACTATATTTGCTCTGAGTACTTCCTTAGAATGAATTCTGGGAAATGGAATCATCCTAATTTGGTAGATGAAAAATAGCAATTTCTTGTTTTAATTAAGTCTTGTAACCCCATCTCTTTGGGATGTGATGAGTCTCCCATCGGTAGAGCTGGGTTTCAGAATAAGACCTGAAGCTCTGGAGGAGGCCATAGATTCTTCCTCAAGCTCCCCTGAGTTCAGGACTTCCGCTGTTGTAAGAGAAACTATTGTTACAGTGAGTTTCTTGTGAAACAGATGCACAAAATACACTAATAGTTCTTTCAGATGGGAAGGCTTCTTCCCATATCTTGTGAAGCAGGAGGCTGGGATTACTGAGGTGTGGGTGGACTGGGTAGGGGAATCCTTTATAGACAGAGCAACACAGTCCACCAGAGGGGGAGGGGATGGAGATGGGAAGAGGAACAGAGTGGAAACTGGTAGGCCATGCAGATACTTTGTACACACTTGAGGCTAAGGGCCAACTGTTTTACATCTGTGTTCTTCTTTATGGCACTTAGTACAGTGTCATGTTTAAATCAGGGCATAATAAAATATATGTGGAAGGAGCTCTGGTAGAGTAGTAGTTGCAAATTGGGCTGTGAACCTTAAGGTCAATAGTTCGAAACTACCAGCTGTTCCATGGGAGAAAGATGAGTCTTTCTGCTTGAGTAAAGATTTACAGCCTCAGAAACCCTGTACAGGGTCACTATGAGTCAGAATCGACTCCACAGCACGTAGCCACCACCACCAATATATATGTGGAGTGGATGGTTGTATAAGAGACACAGCTATTTATGACAGAATCGTTCAGAGAGAACATTCCTGCCTTGATTAGAAAGATGCCAACTGAACATGTGCTTTTTTTTTTTTTTTTTCTATCTTATTTTGATGTTTTAGGGTTTTTGGTGCAGTGGTGTGTGTGTCTAACTCCCTAGAACACATTTGACTTTAATATGGAGTGAAATAATGCTGTCTGGGCTTATGTGGTCTCCCTTTTACTCTGGTTGTTCATTGAACTACCATCTAGGCAGTGATGAAAGGATAGCCTGCTTTCTAGAGGGTCAACTGCTGACTCCCCAACAGTACCTTCTGTTGGTCAGAAATTCTATGTAGGCTTCTAAATATTTTTAAAAGATGAGAAGTAAATCCCTTTAGGCTTTTGGCTTCTTTCTCCTCTTCCTGCAGTTCTGAAGTCCACCCAGGGCAGTGCACTCATGTTCTCCAATGTGAGAACCCTACAATGGCCCTTTTAGTCATGTCTCAACTTTTGCTGCATCCTGCCAAGGCAACTTCATTCTAGCTCAGCATCCTCCACTGGTCTCATTTTCTCTGCTATGAAGGGCCTCGGTGAGGCCTCCTGGAGCTGGGGGGCCTGGTGGTGAATTAACTCCAGGCAGGTGTTGGCTAAACTATACTGTTAATGTCACCAAAGAGATGGGAGTCCTTTATTTCTTCCCAAGGAAGACAATGCTTGCACTGAAAAGGACACCAGTAGAAGGCTTTTTGTGCTGATGAGTGGTCGGGATGAAGCTTGACAAACAAGCTGTCAAGGAAAGCATAAAGAAGGGAGGCCTGCCTGACATGGAAGGCTGAGATGCCTCCTCTGGAGGAGGAAGAGCAACCTGAGCTGACCTTGAGCAACAGGTAGAAGGTAGAATCTAGAACCTTCTGGGAAGGGGCAGACTGGCAGAAGGAAGCAAGTGTTGGAATAGGGAAATGGGATAAGACTGGAGAACTTTGTGCAGCCCATGACATTTATGGAAAGAAGTTCTGAGACATATACAAAAGGTGTTTTTTTTGGGGGGATGATGGCGTTGAGGGAGTAGGGAACTTGGCTCAACAGGAAAGGAGGAAGTCCCTCCTCAGAAGAGGAATGAGATGGTCATTCTAGCAGTGATGTAAGGTTCCCTCCCAAGCCCACTCAGCCCTGTCCTTCTGCATGGATGGCAGCATATGGAATGCATACCCCCTGTCAGCAGCAGCCTAGAAGTTGAGCAGAACTGAAGCATGCCCTCTTCATCCTGGGCAGCTGTCATCTTGCTGTGCCAGCAGCCAACATGCAGGAGGGTCCATTCCTTATTCAGCCCTGTATTTGGTTCTTCTGTCCACCCTTTCTTCCTTTCCCTCTTCCCCAAGTCTTAACTATACCCTTAAAATAATTGCCCCTCTCCTTATTACTTCATCCCTTTTCCTTTCCTTCATGTTCTTTCTTCTCCTAGAATGCCTCTCTACCTTTTCCTACTCTTTGCTTAACTTTGCCCTCTGCCTCTTGGTGTCTGAATTTGTCTCCTGCCCTTTCCCTTGCATTGTCAAGGCTTAGTCCCTTTTCCTCTCCTCAGACTCACTGGAGGGAGGACATTTCCTGGTCTCTTCTTTGAACACTCACTAAAAACTGCCCAAATCCAAGCTCCCATGAAATCCTGCCTGGCTTAAACCTTATTTCCTCCTTCTGACCACTTAACCACTCACATTCCTTCATGATGTTTATTTCACTTTTCTTCCTCTCCCATATTCTTCTGTCATAGCCCTTCCAGGAATTGTACATTAAAAAAAATACAGTTTAAAGCTCATACCTGACACCCTGGCTAATGACCCTCAGATTCCAGTAGTGTCCTTGGGAGAAGTGGTGGTTTGGGCCTGGACCCGGTCTCCCTGTTCTGTGCTAAGCTCAGTGCTCACTGCTTGCTCTGCTGCCTGAGGACACTTGGAGTCCATAGCTTGATTTATTGGTTGTTGCTGTTAAGTGCCATCAAGTCAATTCTGACTCATAGTGACCCTGTATAGGATTTCCAAGGAGCAGCTGGTGAGCTTGAACTGGCGATCTTGCATTTCAAACCAACCTTGCAGTCCAGCAGTCCAACGCATTAACACACAGCACCAATCTGTTCAGGCTCACTGACTCCTAGTGTAGCCTACTGATTAGGAGCCCCAAGCCCAGGAGCCATGTGGAAGGACAGGTCTTCTGTCAGTGTCCCATTAGAGACTCAGGTTTCGGGACCCCTGTGAGTGATCTCAAAGTGTTCATGACTCAATGTGGAAAATAAGAAAAGGAATGGAAGTGGAGTTAGTTTCTCACATGCGTAAATGTGTCCTTTTTCAAAAATTGAGATTACGTTCTTTTTCTTGTGGGGAAGCTGTAGGAAGAGTTTAAAAAGCTTTAGTTTTTATTAATGGAATTTTCATGGTTCTTTTATTAAGACTATTTTAAATACTCTTACTTTGCAAAATAAAAAGTTGGTAGCCCTGTTGTCTCCCAGATTTATGAGATAGTAAAATCCAGTAGTTTGGAAACTGTTGGTTTTTCAAATGCAGATGTAAGTAAAGGACTCTCACCTTCACCTACTACCAGTGAGCTCCAAGCTAAACTCATCTGTAAGTAAGTGCAGGAGTGCCTATTCAGTGCCAAATGCAGGGAACACATTTGTTGTTCTACACAAGTGCTGAACAACACAGACACAGTTTGGAACTTGCATGCTTATTAAGTAGTGAGAGAAAAAAAAATCTAAGATTCATGTACGAATCGAGCTGCAAACCTCAGGGACAGCAGTTCGAAAC